TGTGAGGGAAAACATGGGCAGGAAGTAGGGGCTGGAGGTGGGTCATGGTTTTGGCTCTTTGTGGGTGTTTGTGTTGGGATTGTGAGGTTTATTTGGGCAGGGAATGAAAGGAAGGAAGAGAGGGTTTTACTGGTTTATTAAAAGACTTAAAAGAAGGAAAATAACAACAAACAAAAAGGTTTTGGTTTACACACTCTTATTTTCAGCCATGGCTAAAATAAGAGTAGGAAAAACTTTATTTTGAAAAGAAAATATTTTGGATGTTTAGGGTGGATTTGGACATGGTTGGGGCGGCCAAGGGGGTTTGAAAACAACAAGGGTGTTGGTTGGTGTTCTTGAATGGAAGAAAGGACTTAAATCAACCCAATAAGGATTATAACACTTAGCCATAAATCCCTTGATTTGTTTGAACACTTGTGGCACGTCCATGAGTTTGGGTAGGGCATGCCTGGATATAACATCCTCCCCTTGTTCGAAAGAGTTTGCCCTCAAACTCAAGTTTTCTTTAGGCTCTTCATAGGGGCTGGAATGGAACTTGCTTACATCCTCATCTTCAAGGGTAAACTGGGGCTTGGAGTTGAAGAAAGAAACTCCAACCTTGTTCTTGAATGAGTTCAAGAACGGGAACAGGGATGTCATCTTGTTTTAGGATTCTCCCCTCAATGATATGTGGGTCAGCGTAAGCCTTGAACCCACCTTGGACATTGGGTTGAACATTTGGAACAATTTCACTCATTTTGGAGATTTTGAGAAAATCAAGAAAATTGGACGAAAAATGGGAAGAGGGATACTAAATGCACGAATTAAGGATAGGATATATGAATTGAAGATTAATTGATGATAAAATTGATGAAATTTGGTTGAATGTTTACCTTGGATGCCTTACGGTAGAGAGGAGACGAGAGAGAGGTCGCCAGGAGAGAGACGCTGTAGATGCCGAATAGACGCTGGTCTAGGGTTTTAAAAAAATTTGACTTCGAAGAGACGATCGGTACCTAGGTACCGTGTCAAACAGTACCTTGGTACCGTATAACGGTATAGGGTACCATGTCCAGCTACCGTGTATCGTCCAAAAGCCAATTCTCCTCTGGCGGTATCTGCGTTATGGCGGGACCTAGGTACCGTCAGGGGTACCGTGCCTCAGCAAAAAAATTTGTTTCGACCTCTAGACGCGTGTTTTGAGCATTTTGACTTGATCAATTTATTTTTATGATATAATGGGATAATAAGAACCTTAAATTTCACTTTAATTCAAGCATTCCCATTTCCCGACAAATATGTAAAAATTGTTTTTCATCCAATGGTTTTGTAAAAATGTCGGCACGTTGTTCAAGTGTATTTACATATTCAATTTGAATATCTCCTTTTGAAACATGATCACGTATGAAATGATGTCTTATTTCTATATGTTTAGTTCTAGAATGCAAAACAGGATTTTTGGAAATATTTATTGCACTTGAGTTATCACAAAAAATAGGCACTTTTGAAAATTTTAAATTGAAGTCACTAAGTGTTTGCATCATCCATAAAATTTGAGCAACACAACTACCCATAGCCACATATTCCGCTTCGGCAGTGGATAGGGCGACGGAGTGTTGTTTCTTAGATGACCAAGACACTAGTGCATGACCTATGAATTGACATGTGCCACTTGTGCTTTTCCGATCAATACGACACCCGCCAAAGTCAGCATCACTAAAACCTATCAAACTTAAATTTGTATTCTTAGGATACCATAACCCCATATTGGTCGTTCCCTTGACATATCGAATTATTCGCTTGACGGCATTAAGATGTGATTCTTTAGGTGATGATTGGAAATGTGCACAAAGGCAAACGGAAAACATTATATCGGGCCTAGATGCAGTTAAATAAAGCAAACTACCAATCATACCTCGATATACCTTTTCATTTACGGATTTTCCGCTTTCGTCGTCGTCAAGCTTTAAGGATGTGCTCATTGGAGTCGGATATGTTTTTGAGTCTTCAAGGTTGAACTTCTTGACTAATTCTTTGGCATACTTGGTTTGGCTAATGAAAATACCATCTCCAAGTTGCTTAATTTGAAGTCCAAGGAAGAAGTTCAACTCACCCATCATACTCATTTCAAATTTGCTTGTCATAATTCCTGAAAATTCATTACATAAGGCTTCATTAGTTGACCCAAAAATAATATCATCAACATAAATTTGCACAATTATGAGATCTTTTCCTTTTGTTTTGACAAAAAGTGTGGAATCGATCTTTCTTTTTGCAAATCCATGTGAGATGAGATGTTCGGTAAGCCGCTCATACCAAGCTCTAGGAGCTTGTTTGAGTCCATAAAGGGTCTTATGAAGTTTAAAAACATGATTTGGAAAATCAGGATTTTCAAAACCGGGGGGTTTGGAAATGTTTTACAATAGCTATAACTCAACAAAAGAATGGGATAAGCAACCAAAACTAACGAAAGAAGGTATGGTTATGGTGAAACCACTAATTTGATGAGTATGGCTAAAAATCATTTTAATACCTCAAAAACTAACCCATCAAACCAAGCCTCAACTTCTAAATCAAAAGTAAGGGCTTGCCACTATTGCATGCAAGTTAACCATATTGTGACAATTGTTGGCCTTGAATGCCGTACCCCGTAACCGTTTTGATGTGCCAAATAAGTCTTCCAAATGCTACTAACATCATTTGCAGGAAGAACACAAATGCCAAACCTCTATTAGCTTGTTTAGCATCACCGAGATATACTCCTACGAGTTTAGAAATTGTTGTGTAAAGGTAATGATATATTTTAATGAGTTACTTATACCCTTTCACTCAAAAATTATTTTTAAAATGTCAAATATATTCTTAGTTGGGGTTATTTTGAAAACAGAACACGAAAAACGAGTTTTGGAAAATTTACACAGGCCTAACGGTACCTGGCTACCATATACACGGCACCAGGGTACCGCCGGTAGCCAAGTGAACGTACCGAGTACATTTCACTCAGAGAGGTACACGGTACCCCCCTACCGTGTAACGGTACCTGGGGTACCGTACGGTAGGCTGAAACGACTGGCCACCCCCATCCCAAGCCGGTACTGCCAGAGACCAACCTAGATTTTGGCCTATACGGTACCCCTACACAGTAGGTTGTACCGTGTCACGGTACCTAGGTACCGGACGGTACGGACCCCCTACCTTGAAGGGTACCGGATCCGTTATAGCACTATAGCAAATTGCCAATTTAAATTCAAATCACCCCTAATCACCTCCTAACGATATTTAAGGTTAAAAACTCATATTTTAACATTCCAAACTCCTATATAAACCCCTCTAAGTCTCATTTTAATAACAACAACTTCCCAATTAATTCTAAAGCCTCTTTCTCTATTCTTGAGTGTTCTTAAAGCTTTGTTCTTATTTTTCTTACTCTTTTGAGTAAAAAGTTTTTACTATTTTCATACACTCACACACAAGGGCATTTGTGCTTCATTATTTTATATCTTGCCTATATGCTTTTGTTGTTGTTGATTTAATCTTTTGTTCTTCTCCTACCCAACTTACATTGGTTATCATTTTGGTAGAGAAGCAACACCAATCTTTTTATTGATTTGTAAAAGGTGTGGATAGCCTCTAAATCCTCATTGTAAGGTTGAAGATAGCCTTAAAATCTTCAGTTGTAAACGGTTTAGATAGCCGTAGTAAAATCTCATTTGCTTATTGGCAAGGGTTGTTTGCCAAACGTCGTTTGAGTCTTCTTAGTGAAGCCAAACAAGTTAGTGGAGGTTAAATCCTTGAGGAGGAGCCTCGAGGTACTGGAGTAGGGAGTTCCCGAACCAGTATAAAATCGCTTGTATCATATTTTTATCTTTTATACTTTTCTTGTTCTTTTTCCGCTACTACTTTGCGCATAAGTTTTTGTTTATATTAAAAATTTGCAAACACCCTAATTCACCCCCCTCTTAGGGTGTAAACCGACTTTCTATATATATATATATATATATATATATATATATATATATATATATATATATATATATATATATATATATATATATATATATATATATATATATATATATATATATATATATATATATATATATATATATATATATATATATATATATATATTATATATATATATATATATATATATAAATTGAAAATGGCTAATATCATTTTGGAAAATTATATCTCAGTAAAAAGTAAGTTGATTTTTTTAAATATTAAATTTTATAATTTAATGATTTTGAAAAATGATTTAAACAATATTTTGCAATTATTGAAATATAAATAATATATTTGGGAAATAAATATGTATAACGTCTGGAAATTTATTTTTCCGATTTATAAATGTATAAAATATTTACTGGAAGTTGGAAATTAATTTTCATGATTTTTGCAATTTATTTCAAATTTAAAATGAATTTTGGAATAAACATTGCACTAGGGGCATTTTCGTAATTCTGTATCTACTGGAATTTTCTTTTCCAATTTTGGCCCTGGCCGAAAGTCACCTAATGTATTTAGGATGACTTGGTATATTTCATAATTTTTGTACCACTTTATGAATTTTTATGAATTTTAGAATATATTACCAACGTAGTATTTTTCTAGAATTATCTGGGGCGAGCGCGGTTCGCCTGGTGTATGTATATCTCTATTGCCTGTGTGGATGTATGATATGCATGGTGGATGATTGTGGCTATAGTTTATTTGATTATAATACGGCCTGCGTGTCGTGCCTTATCTCTTAAACTCTTGTTGTAAATCTATTTCTCTCTCTTACCTCAACCGAGGATTCTTTTCTCACGTCGTGGTTAGAAGTTAAAAGGTTTTGAAGTCCATTCGAGGGAATCTAAAGGAATGGAGATAGCCAAA